CAGACGCTGTAGAATAGACCGTGGCCCAGTCGGTATTGACAAACATCGACCGCCACCGAGCATACACTATCAGACCTCTGAGCGCGCGCGCACGTGGCGCTTTGGGTGCCGACGCACACATAATGCAAGTATGTTTGGGTGATGCCACACCAAGAAAAGCTGGAGGGGGGAGGGGGTGGGCGTCACGCAGCAGCGCCCTGGGCGATGATTGAAAGAGGTCCCCAGCCTCCCAAGGGGGTCGGAATTATTGAGATTATTTGACCCCTCTCTTTCCAATATGTCCAGGCGGGAAGGAACTATACGTTGAATATGTCCCCCAATGCTTTTCTGGACCGCCATCCTACATCAAGACCCGAAATCCCTCCCCAAGGGAGGGACTGGACCCAAAGGATGAGCGGGAGAGGGAAGGGGAGGAAGGGATGAGGGCGCAAGAGTGCGAGGAGGGAGGACGAGCAGGGAGGGCGAAAAGGAAGGAAGAGGGATGGGGGAAGGGGGGAAGGAAGGGAGCGAGGGGAGGGGAGGGAGGGAAGAAGGAGAGGGATAAGGAGGAGGAGGGGGAGGAGGAGACAGAAGAGGGCGAGGAGGAGCAGCAGGAGCAGGCGCGGCGGCAAGCCAAAGGGGGCCTGGAGGCGACGGGGGCGGAGGCGGCAGATGGCCTCCCGGATCCGGGCCCGGCCCCTCGCGGGGCGCAGGTCGCCGTGCGCCGCCGCGGCCCTCCCAGAGAAGCGCCCAGACGGCCGCCCCCCCCCCCCCCCGGAGGCCCCGCCCTTTCCTGCGCACCGCCGGGGCCGCCGTGGTGTGCTGGGCGGGTGTCGGACAGAGCTCCCTTCAGCAAAGCGTGGTTTCGTGAAGACGGCCTCGGGCCCAAGCCTGGTCGTCGGCAGGCCCGGAGAAGGACGGCCTGCTGACGGCCGCGGCGCCCTCTCGAGAACCGAAAACGGACAATTCACTAGTCGACGTGTCAGGGTGGGGATTCTGTCCACCCCCGAAGGGTGGGCGACCTACACGGAGGCTGAAGAAAAGGGCCGTACAGGGGCCCACTGTAGGGCCCCTTTTGGAGCCAGCAGGGGCCAAAAAGGTTCGCTGGGCACTGGTTTCCTCTCAGAGCAACCGCAACCCTCTCGAAACCCTCCGACAACCCTCCTCCAGGCCTCTTTAGAATTCATTTCTTCACCCCTACTTTAGGTCACCTCCAATAACCACCCGCCCGAGTGCTGTTTGGTTCCCCCGCCCCCGCGCCAGCGAGAACAACTGCTCGAAGAACTCGCTGCCGAGCAGCGTGTGCTGGGGCTCCCAGGCCGAGGCGACCTCTGAGAAGGAGGGGGAGGATGAGGGAGGAGGACGAGGAGGAGGAGGGAGGGATGGAGGGAAGAGGGAGGAGGAGGGAGGAAGAGGGAGGAGGACGACAAGGGATGAGGAAGAGGCGAGGGAGGAGTAAGGGAGGAGAAGGGGGAGAACGACTTTGACTGTGGACTCCGCCTGGGGTCACTAGATGACGGGGGGGGGGAGGCGAAGAGGGGAGAGAAGGAAGCAAGCAACAATACGTGGCGAACGGGCCGGCCGCGCAGTGGAGAAGCAGGGAGAAGAAGGGAGGAAGCAAGAGGCGAGAGGAGAAAGGAGGAGGGAGGGAGGGAGGAGGACAGGAGAGCAGGGGAGACCCGCGTGCGCACGAGCTCGCCCTCGCCTGGGGCCCGCGCGGCCTGCTCGGGCCGGCGCTGGGCCCCCCCTGCCCGACGCACCCCTCGAGCCCCGCGGAGCGGAGCGCGCCCGCGGCAGCGCCGGAGGCGCCCCCGGAGGGGTGCGCAGCGGGGGGCCGGCGACCGACCCACGGAATCGTCGCAGACCCAGCGGGCGATGTGTGCACACAGCCATGGCGCTGCCACAGGAAGCAGGCGCAGCGAGGAGCGCAGGGGCTGCTCCGTCCACGGCGAGCCTCGGCAACGAAGGGCCTCCACGGCCTGGGTTTAGGTCGGGCGTGTCCCCCTACAGGCGGATTTGGGCGAAAAAATGCAAATGCCCCCAAAAATACCCCAAAACGCTCAAAGAATGATAGAAAAATCGTCCCCTGACTATTTTAACTATTTTTGAATATTCCCCCTGTAGAGGGACAGGCCCGATTTAAGCCTAGGTCTGAGGGAGAGGCCCGAGAACCAGAGCAGGGATAGACCCAGACAGTGTTTTTCGCTTTCGCACTGCCTTCGTTTTCCATCGTTCAGTCCTCAATCCGCCTTTGCTGCAACAGGAAGACGAAACGAAAACGGCACACGAAATCGCCAAGACACCAGTCGGGTAGACCCTGGGCCAGGGCCCCATCCCGAGCCCAGCGCGCAGGCCGTCGCTATCTCGTCGCTTTCGGCGATCGGGGGGGGGGCCGGTGGGCCCGCACCACAAAGCCACGCCGGCGAAGGGCCACTCTTTACGAGTAGTCGACAGAGCCCCACCCCAAGCCCAAAGCGGTCCTCCATCTCGGGGTCCTTTGGCCGTGTGCTTCTGCCTCTCC